GGGAGTTCACGAATAGGTAATAATAATTATTAATACATACTATCGACGTTATTCTATTTTACTTTTTTTTTTTTTTTCCGAATATTTATTGCGCAGTATTTACTGCAGTTTTGTAGCATGAGTACGTGTACAAATTATTATTATTATCATTAACGATAGCCGCCGCGCGATAATTAAACGTTCGACGGGTCGTATCCGAGAGGTCAGAAATCACTGGCGTCGATTTGTTTGATGTTTTTTTTTTTTTTCGAAGAGAGAGAGAGAAAGAGAGAGAGAGAGAGAATGTTTTCTCACCTTTTACGCATCACTCGCTGTCGGCGATGTCGGATTCGACACCGAACGCACGCGATTTAACGTTTTTTTTTTTTTCCGACTGTTCTATAATACCGTCGTCACTCGAATCTGATCGAATCCGAAAAACTATACGCGCGCCCGACCGATGCCCGCATTCCGGTATAGCGCCGATAACGTTTGTCGCTCCCCGAAACGCGTTTGCCGCAGGTCGAACTTTCAGGACCGCGAGAGTGTCGACAGCGCGTGCGTAGTTTGGCCGCAACATTACTGAACTTACCGAAAAGAAAATCTTGCCTCCGACGTCTGCTATATGGGAAACCGCGCCGACAGGCCGTATCGGGCGATGGCGGGATTAAAGCGCCGATTACGTTTTTACGCGAATAACATAAATTCGAGGTTTCGGCAGCGTGTTTGATTCGCCGACGCCGGAATCACCTGACGCGGCCGTTTTCGACCGTTTGCGATTTCGAACACGGCGGGTGTCCCGGTTCGGCCGGGACACCCGCACCTGACAACCTAACCTGACCGCTCGAGAAATCTATTTCGGGATCTTATTCGGACATTTACGGAAACATCAATTGTGTTCGGTATGGATTCTCGGAACACGTAACGCGCCTGTGTTCCGTTTTAATCCGTCAACGGACGGAATTGCAATGCACGACAACGTAATTGTACGATAACACGTATCTATTGTGCCATACCGGCAGGTTAGGTCAATTCGACCAGATGGACGGTAAACGATAACGTAAAGGAAGACGGTAATACAACACAGATAACAGAAAATGGCGATATAATACAGTAGACAAGATAAGATAAGACAATATAGTAACGTTATTAATTTGCTAAATAATTAATTGTTGTCCCGGTGGGTTTTAACTCATTTTTAAGCACGATTACGAAGCAATACTCGGCTTCGCCCCCGCGGACGGGGTTTTCGTCGAACGTAAAACGTGTTAATATTATTTCATATTTCACTCGGGGGTTTTTTTTTTTCCGTCCATGTTTTACTAACCTTTAAATTGGTTTTTATCTCATCCGTGTTGACTGCGGTAATCCGTAACAATAAATGAATAACACATTCATATACTTTTACGCGCGTGATTATCGATTTTTTTTAAAAATCAACAACTCGGCCGTACGCATTGGCGATGTTTTATCGTTTTTGACCAGTCCGCTTAAACGCGATATTTATTAAAATCTTTTCTTATTACACATTTTGATTATTACGCGGAGATACGGATACAACATTTTGTATTTCTTAACGACAGATTCGAGTTACGTTTCTCTAAACATTAACACTCTCTAATATTTCAGGACAATAAATACAGTTGCTTAATAATTTGAATAGAAACAATAAATGCAGTTTGTTTCTACGTTCGTTTATTTCGTGTTGAAGCGGTTAAGCATTTCACACTGTTCTCTGAATGGTTATAATAGTAATATTCACCGGTGTGAACCTGCGATCGAAATATTTCGGCAATTCGTGTATTTATGTTATTGTTTGATCGTTTGGATATTATAAGCATGTATACCAGACGCGGGATTGTTAAAAACCAAAAACCGTATACTTTATATTCACTCGTCGTATCGTATTCGTCCGTAATTGCCGAGTTTAAATTAAATCTGAACAGTAAATCACACAATTACAATGCAAATTCAATTCGTTGACATAGATTTTTTTTTTTGTATCATGGGACTTATATCAGGTCATGAACAAAATTATAAAAAATGTTCAATTGAATTGAAAAATTAAAGCGCATATATTTGGATCAATGCCCGTTTGCTGTCGGAAAATAAAAAATAAACGTGACAGAGAGAGAAGGAGGGGTGAAGAGGCTGTGAGTACGATTATGGTTAGGTCGGTTATTGTGATTTTCAAATGGGTTTTCGTAAAAATTTGGGAAAAACGTAAGAAAAACAAGAAAATGTACGAAATGTATTATTTTCAAATCGTAAATAATAACGATCTTTCAAAACATGAATAACAGAACTCTGCTTAGAGTAATTTTTCTTTAGCAATGATTAATCATTTCGTACAGGTATACATTCAATTTCACTTCTACTTTTCCAATTTCTTACCTACAGTGGCTCACTCTTCGTGCGAAGTATGTCCACTTGTTTTTATTTTTTAAGTTATGGGCAGTATATGTTTTTTTTTTAATGAAACTGTATTTACCATGCATTTTTGTAGTGCATATTCAACATTTTTCAATTTATAAATGTATTTTTTTTTAATTTTACAATAATTATATTGTACTATCAACCCACGTACACAGTTAAACCAGAAATGTACAAATTATTTTTTGATTGAAAAAAGTAAAAGGTTGTTTTTTTTTAAATATAAAATCTAGTGTAACTTCTTATAATTTTATTGTATTTTACTATTCTACTGTAAAATACCTACAATAGCTTAAAGTTTTTTTTTCGTATCTCCCACCATTGCAGAGAGTTAACGCTACTCTGAACACGACGCGCCATTTGTGATTGTAATTATTATCAACGTCTAAATGACACATGAACTCGGCGGAGATGAAATTTCCACAATATAGATTGAAGATATGATGTATTTTTTCAATAAGTCAATTTCCCCCCCCCCCGGAACACACTGTACATACCTACTTTTTAAAAAGGATCTGCATCGGTGCGCGAATACTTTTTTGTTGAATTCATAAAAATCTAATTCTAAATACCTTTTGAAACAATAGCTGTTTATGCATAGTGTGTTATTAAAAATCATATTTTACGAGTCCTGACGTTACTAGCGTCGACGGTCTACACTCCGATATAGGTGTGCGTATCGTTCGTATGAATAGAATTGCGAAGCCTGCAAACGGACAATTTTCGTCGGCGTCGCCCGATGAATTATTTTCGTTGCGTCACAGCGACAATAATGTTATAGAAATAACAATAATCGTTTTCCGTATCGTTTTCCGCTCACCGTGTGTGCCAATGCCGATTGTTTGTTTTTTTTTTTTTTTTTATCGAACTTTCCCCCCCCCCCCCCCCCGTATACGAGTATACCGCGATAGTTGAATGATTCAAAGAGTAAAATTAAACGTTATCGCCGTGTACAATGATTAACAATTAAAAAGTAGGTCTCCGGTCGCCGCGATGTATTTTTCCCCGTCTCATTATTGTATTGACGACCGCAGTAGTCGTCGTATACGCCTGGTCGGGTTTTACGGCGCCTAATGAAAGTAATAATAATTCAGTATGAAATAAAACGCGTTCGTCACCGTTCTCTCAAACAACACGACTGCAGCGGTTGTATGATTATAATAATAATACCAGGCAATGTCGGAGGCGAAGTATAATTTAAATATTATTCTAAAAAGTTCGGCTCGAAATGGTCCCGTAATATATTAAAATATGGTTTGGCAATAACGAAAAACTCGGGGGATGCGCGTTACTGACTGTTTACCGATAAAATGCTTGGAAATTTAAAACGAGTTCGTATAAGTGGTTTTTAGTGGTAAAAAAAAAAAAAAAAATGAAAAATGAAAAAATTTAACGTCATATGGCAGGTTTTTTTTTTTACGCATAGTTGATAAGTATGGACAGTAACAAAATTACTTTTTAAGGTTTTTTTTTTCGTTTCTATTTTTACCGGTTAGATTTCCATTCCATCAACAATACCTATTGACAATTGTTTTTTTTTTTTTTAAATAAATACATATCACATCTATTATTTTATCCAAAAGATGAATCTTCAAGTGTATGCAGACGGTTTCGGAGTTAATTATCTTTATAACTGTATAGAGACAAATTATTCCACTCGTCTGCGCCGAACCATCGCTGCGCAACGCCAATATACGTATACAGGCGAAATGCTGTGATAAAACTCAAAACGGTTTCAATAAAATGAAATATTTCTTTAATATAGTCAAGTTTAAATATTTTATTATTATTGTTATTGCGTTTCGCTCGTTTTACTCGCATAAACGTTTTCAGCTCCGAAATGCGAATTTCCGAACACGCGCCGGTACTCGGACGGTGCGTAGGTGTTATATTTTTTTAATGTCAGCGGTAACGACGGTTATAAATTGTTATGCCGCCGTGGTTTTTCACGCGAGTTCGGCACAGTGTTGCGCGGCGGGTGATTATTCGGAAATTCGCATTTTTATAACGGGTCGTGGTGTGACATTTTTATGGTTCCGACTGCAGTTGATAGTATAGTAATAATAGTGATCGTAATGTCTATTACTTATATATTAATAATACTGTATTACTGTTAAAACGACAAACAACGCAATGTGATATTTAAAGACTGGCTTGTGTTTTGTAATATCCGATAATGGTAATAAAATGTTATACAGTAGTAATGCTCTGGCCCGGCGTTTCGTAAACAATATTAATAATATTTTTTCTTATTTTTTTTTTTTCTGCATCGACGGAATGTAAGACATTATTTGACCCGTTAACTATATTATAAAAAAAAAAAAAAAAAAAACGAAATACATTGTAACTATATCTAGGTATATTATAATATCATTGTAAACGCTGGAAAATCTGCAACACTAAAACGTTTACCGTATACCTATAAAGAGTAGAATAATAATATGTTTCGACGTATAAGCGTATAAGAAGAGAGAGAAAAAAAACATTGTTTTGTTTTACAACGAAGCGTACGGTTTTTTTTTTTTTTTTTTTAATAAGAGTAGTAATAATTTATAGTAATGCATTTCTGACGAAGAGTGCGCCGCCGTTTAGTTGACATCTGAATCGCTGTGGTATTCCGCGTTCAAGGCGTTCTGAAACAAAAACGACAACAAAACTCAATGCTCATATAACTTATAAACTTATTATAGCCGTGTTAAGCGTTATCCGTCCATAAAATATCATCTAAACGATATCTATCTAGATAACGAAATGCTACGTTTGATTTTTTTTTTTTTTTACTTAATATCTAATATAAAACCGAAATATTTTGTCAATAGCGTAGCGACGAACGAAAATTGCCCCGTTCTGACGGTTTCGGATGCCGGCGCTATCAAGAACAAGACTGACGCTGCAGGGCCAAGACCGAAACCAAAACCGACGCTTTTTAACACTGCCGCAAGAGAGTTGGTGATCTCCCCGACCCCCAACGAATCATATTTAATATAAAAACTAGAAAGCGTTGTCGCCTACGGAAACGGCGAGTTAATTAACGAAAACGCGGGGTGGGGAAATATGTTACCGTGCACAGTGGTCGTTCGATACCGAATAGCACGGGATAATAATATCTCGGTTGAGAATGCCGTATTCGCCCGTTTCGTAAAACAAAGCAAGACCGTGGGTGTCCTAGAGCAAGCCCGAGACCGAGATTGGGTCCGCAAGAACCTGTAAAAAAGATTTGGATTGCCCGTTTTTTTTTTTTATCTTTTTAATTATTTTCGGTAATGCGTAGATAACAATAAATACCGAATAAACACGCACTACACTACACTAGTCTGTATATTATTAATCAATCATTCTCGAGAGTATTTTTAATCGCTCTGAATCTTGATACTAATTATTCTTAAATGAATCGTAATATTTTGGTTTGTACTAAAAATTAATTTGTCACATTGAAATAAACAGGTACATAAACAACCATCGAGTTTATCTGCAACACAGTTTTGAGCGAGTGTTAAAGTTAAACGTTTTTCGATAAATTTCAATTAAAAATTTAATAAGAATTTAAAACTGTAAAATATATTACAATATAGTTCGTTTATTTACCAAATTTTAACATAAATTCGAAATTAAAACGCTGATAACATTAAATTATAACAATTTCGTTCTTATAATTTCACAAAAAAAAGACAACCTAGGACATTTAGACTTATCTTGTGGCATATCACTTTGAATTATTAAATACAAGTAAAACTTACACAATTATAATAGTTTTCACCGCAGGTAAAAATTTTTTTTAAGTATATTTTTATCTAGACAACTACTAAAAAGATAATTAATATTTATTCATCTTAGATTATCTTATTGAGATATCAAAAATTTCAACCGGAAAAGAATATTATCTACAGATAATACTGTCTGGCTATATCTCAAAACTGCTTACGGAAGAATTTACCGTCTTCCTACTTGGGTGCGCGTACCTGTACGTCGTAATTTATCGGTTAGCATGATAATCAATTAAAGTTACGTGGCCGAAATATTAAAAACATATTATTTATTTATTACAATTTAAACGAGTCCAGTTACAATATGTACACGGAACGCATAATTTACAAATATTAAAAATCAGATAATTCAATAATTACTATTGTACAGGTAAAATGGATTTACTGCATCACAAACAAAATGATCAATATTAAATTTATTTACAAGTTGCATATTGTTATTACGTCTACTATGTATTCTCCACTCGTTAAAAGCCAATTTATCGAAACGATTATCATAATTATTATAGTGATCAATTAAAATACGGCTGTACGAGTATACTCTCGGAATTTTCAAATGACACATAGCAATATCATGATGAAACGCTGTGTTCGGCGGTGTTCGAGTTTCCTGAAAAGTTCGAGCGATAATTCAATAATAACTTTTTTACAAAACGTTAATTAATTTTTAATTTCGTAGCGTAAAAGTACTTAGGTAGGTACCTAAATTATATTATATTATTTACCGTGTAGTTTTTATAGTGTTTCGTAATAAAATACGATTAATCGAGTAAATGGCAGCGGCCCGGAGAAAATCATATTAAATAAAAACGGGACCGTATTACGACCGAAATTATATTCCGTTGAAAATTCAACTAGAAAATTTACCGATTGTTTGGATTGCTTGGAGTTTCGGTTTAATGTCATAATTAGTTCGTGAAATGTCATCACTTTTTTTAACACATTTTAACCGTACTTGTACTACTTTAAGATAGGTTTATTTCACGAACGTGTTGCATTTGTGACGAACAATAGTTTTACGCACGTTATTAAAGCGCCATTCGCGTAAACAAAATAAATACGTATAGTGTACCCTATAAACTATAATATTGTTGATTGTAAATTTGAGTATACAAAAAAAAAAAAAAAAAAATCAATATCACGTTATAAAACCGTATAAAATAATATACCGAGAATCGAATCCAATATTTCTACAAAAATACAGCCTGACCTATAACCTATATATCCCTAATCTAATAACCCAAGCTAAACCTAACCTAGTTGGCGAAGTTGTTACCGCACGCGCGTCCTTTATGATTTGAAACGATAATTTATTATATATTTATTATTCCTTTGGTTACGTAATATAATCATTTAGTGTAAAATTTAATAAATAAAATTATTAGTTTTCCGAGTCGCACGAAAATAATAACGAAAATAAATTACATTTACTTAAAATGATTACAATATTATTACCTATCTTCGTGTAACCCGCGTATAAAAAAAAAAAAAAAAAAGAAAAAGTAATACACTGCGCGGACGTCGACAAAATCGTCAGAAGACGAATGGTAAATTATGTAATAATTCGTCCATCGTTTAGGATTATACCCGTAATCGTTTTCAGATTACGAGCGAAACGAGAAATGTATTTGTTTTACTATGATTATCTCAGTTAAAAATACGATTAAAAATACTCAGCTCAGAATCGTTTTCTGTATGCAATTGTCTTTCATCGCGTAAATGTATAGTAAATAGTGACGCGCCAATCGGCGGTATCAGCCTTTATGATTATTGGTAGTTTGTACCTACCATATTTAAATATAGACGGGTAATTTTTTTTTTTTTTTGTGTATGCGTGTATACAATAAAAGGACATTGCGGTGTTTTATTGCGAGCTGAAATTTCATGTGGCTATTGAATGACAGTGATAATGTAAAAAGCGATTTCAATCAAAAAAAAATTTATGTTTTAGCCTTTAGGTTATATTATTCCGTGCAACCCAACCTGAGGTGGCCGTTTGAAGAGGATGAATAATAATGAAAAAAAAAAAAAATATATATATAGAACGAAGTAACTGCACAGGATAGTGTGTACAGATTCTCGGGCCAAAATAATTACAAAACTCGTTTTGCGGAATTCTATACATAGAGGTAGACGCGTGTCCTATTACCGCAAGTCACAACAACGAATGATCTGCAGCAGCGCATGTGCATATACGGTTTAAAATTCAACATTTTATACCGACGACCGTAAAAATGCACTTTGTCTACCGTTACGTTGGGTTGTTATTGTTGTAATGTTTCTCTTCGATTATCGTACGAGGGAACGAGTGAGAGAGACCGAAATATAAACCGCAGTTGCGTTCTATCGACTATGCGGGGAGAGAAAATGAAATTCAACTCAACCACACACCAGTATTAATATTTTAATCAAATTTCGATTCCATCTATCGGGGCGTTTGCCCGAAAACGGTGTACCTACGATATATCGGATCGAATAGTTCTTAAACGCGTTTCGACATTAATTGCGAAGCTTTTGTACGAGTCGTAGTCTCGTGGAAATAAAACGTTTCGTCTAATAAATCTGAGCATGCGTCCTGTGCACCATGCATAGGCCGCCGACACGATATAGTTATTTATAGTTCACATACTGAAAATACCGGTGGATCGTCGCAGTTAAAAAAACGTATCCGGAACAGAGCTTTATGAACTGACAACGTTACGTAATAATTCGGGATTTTCCCCGTATAACCGTTGAGATGGCCGTACGGAATTCAACGAAAATCATAAAGCATCACCCGGCAAATTATCACCGTCTTTTAATGTACGCGCAATAAGGAACATTTTTACTAACCGAAAATATATAATTTCCGAGTAAGAAAATCGCATATTGGCAAAAAACTTGTAAAGCTTTCCACGACACTCAGATTCTAAAATCAATATCATCAATTCCAATCATATCCGAAAACGAAATCGAGCGAAAATAGTACAGCTTTATTAGGTATGATGCATGTATACGTCTGTGGATTCTCGTGAAAATTCATGACAAAAATGAATGCAATTAACGTTTAAAATAATTAGCTATACAGTGTGATGATTTGTCTAAAAACGTTATCGGTTAATTCGTTTCTATTTCCGAACCAGTTTAGATTTAAACGAAACCCTAAATACTTTGAAATTTTGCTTTAACTGTATTCATTTCGAAAACTAAGCCATATTTGTATTGATTCAATAACGTATTTGTTGGTCAATCGCGTTAAAATGTTCGTCTCTAAGGGCCATGCTCTTTGTTGTTTCACAAATTGTCGACATTTAATATTACAAAGTCGTAATGATTCTTAACGAAATATTCAATCGGTTTAAATTTGTTTGTTTAGAGGTCTGCGCACGATATATTATTTCTTCGCTCGAAACACCGGTTACAGGGTTAACTCTACCGCCTCGTAGAGTCGTGCGATTTCGATAGATATTTTATTTTCGTTGGAAAGAGGACGCATTTCTATAAGATGTAATGCACTTTGATATTTGATTATGTAACCGAAAATCACGGAAAAATAAGTTGACAAGAAAATAGTAAAAATTAGACACATACAGACTATAGCGTTTGGAAATATAATTCTAATGATCCTTGTTCAATGAGCCCCGTAAGAATTAATCGGCTTTTCAATGAAAACAAAATTTGAAATCTGACTACTTAACGAGGCAATTATGTCGTAACCTCCCCGTAAAGCATAATTTTGGAAAAAAATCCGGTCGCGCACAGACCCATTAGTTTTACTAAATTGGACATTTTTAATTAATTGATTAGTATGTAGGGAGCGAAAAATAACAATCGACACGTGTTTTTTTACGTTTAAAATTTTTTTTTCAAAAAGTCCCTATATGGTTGATTATTATTGCACCCGTGATACGTATACACCGCGGCAATCGTTTAGATTCAAAATCGCATTTAATTAAATTTGTTACTATTGTACTAGAAGGGTATACGGACACACAACAATTCATAACTTTGATAATAAATTCGATCGATTACTTTAGGCACCTACAGCAGCAACAGAAGCTTTTGGTTATACTGCGTAATATGTATTACAGATTTTACGACGTGTGACAGACGGAATAATTGTTTAATATCAAATATCAATAATATTGTTACCGGCTATATAATATATTTATCAGCCGTCAAATTACACCGTAAATGAAATTTACGCGCGTCACGTTTGTCCGCCAATAAGAAATTGAAAATTATTATGATTATAACAGAATTATTATTGTGTAGGCAGTAGGATGCGTGATTTTTGATTCGCGTACAATCAACGGTCACGTTTTCAAACTGCACATACCGCGGTAGTCGCGCTAATCAAATAGACATTATTTCGAAAGTAATCTTAATAGCTTTACTCCAAAAACGTACAGAGCCTAAAACACGAGTCTCGAAATGTTTACTCGATATACTTACGCACGTCTATATACGTTATAGTGCGGATAACATCGTTTCGTAGACAGATTCGTACCCTGAGTATCGCGTATTTAAATAGAATTTAATTAGGTACCATACAAGACCCATTTGCAACAATTCGTATTTAAACTCGTCTTAACTAAGCTTTACTTTACGTTAAGTTATCCTTAAATTAAGGTGAGATTGCAACGTCGTTTTTTTATTTATAATTAAGATTATTTTCGGTGGTGGATTTAGGAACAGCTAACTTCAAATAGTAATTTTAAAAATTTTGAGTTATGGGACTTATATTCTTCTTAATTTCAACAGTTTTCAAACTTATAGATAACAGAAATTTTACCCACGTTTGAAAAAATTTATTTTATACGTTTTATTGCTATTAAAAGTGTATAAATACATTCAATTTCGCCTGTTTGGTTTGTCAAACTTATTTCGTAAATTCCGTTGTTTTAAATTGAATTATTTTAAAGTTTATCAATAAAAAATAAAAAAAATGTTTCGTTGCTCACGTCTACCTGGAATTTTTGAAATTTAAACGGTTCGTCGGCTTTAAGTTGAAGTTCAAAAGTCTGGAGTGAGAGAAATGACTGGAAAATTAAAATTTAAGATTGCACCGAATCGTAATAATTCGCATAAACCAAATGCTCATTATATATGTATTTATTAATACAGACGATAAAACCAATTGTATACCCAGTTGCCATGTCTATTGATGGTATTTTAAAATCTTTTGTTAAAAAAAAAAAAAACAATTTCTTTTGATATTTAATTTAAGTTTTTTCCTTCAACACGTTCGTTTTGTCCGATTTTCTATTACTATACCCTTACGATTTTTACTCGGTCACCGATTAAAGTTGTGCAATCGTATAACACGTTTGTATAATATTTAAACTGTCGATGTGCGCATATGCAGTCAAGCGGAGGTGACAAGAACGGCAAACGTGACAAATGTGTGTTATTCTTCGGTCGATCTCCTCGAAATTTTATTTCCATTGGAATATCTTCAATATATACTTTTTAACATACGGCCGACTCGAACAAATCATCCCTGCGAGCGATTACAACGAACTTGAGAATCGCGTAGACGAAAATTCGAGTTATATTTGAAAACCAATAAATCTATGGACACGACTTGATCGCATTATGAGTAATCGCGTGGACCGAAAATGAACAAGATATTACAAAATTAGTTACTATCTATATCGGTCGTCCATTCATTCATTTTCAGTAACTTGGAAACAAGATAGTAGATAATTTTGTGATGATAGTATTGTAATACAAAATAATCGATAGGTAGGTATTTATATTTTATGCAGGTATTTAAATTGAATACTTGGCACACTAAAATGTGTGCAATTGTCCACGCGTGCAATATCATAAAAAAAAGCATTAGTTGTTTATTTGAAACATGTTTTTGGAATGCCAACAATATTATCCCTAATTTCGTACATTCACTTTCAATTTTTAATGTACTTTTCGATAAGCGAGTGGGGGAAGGTTACTTAAATTCTCCACCTCCCACCCTTTTGGTTTATTACGTGCGAGATACTTCAAAAACAAGTATCTATATAATACCGTTTCTAGGTATCTCGGTTTCTGTAATTTCGCCATACATGATACTCGATACTCTTCACAACTGCAGTATTAAGAAACAAGATACAATTGTAACTATCCAAAAGACGCATTTAAGATATCTGTATCGGGGATACGCAATCACGATACTTGTATCAGAGATATCGCCTAACAATATATATCAGGACACACAAAAAGATGGCTCGGTTTTCGTGTACATAAAACAAGAACCGAAGGTAAGGTAAGTATATGTAAGATAATTAAGTGGGAAAACCAAAAAAAAAAATGAGCTGATACTGGTGATGGGTATGGTACTTTTTAAGACAGGCAATTTTTAAGGTAGGTAACGTAGAGGTATTCAATTTATACTTGTACATTATAGTAAATCATGGCTAGTGAAATACAATTGCGAATTTCGGTTGAACGTGTTTCGAAATGCCACGATTTTTACAATAAACGTGAAAATTTAAACTTAAAAATGAATACATTTCGGTAAACGTTTTTATCATACAGAAAACCGGTAGAATGTTTTGAAAATGTTACTAAAAGCCCAATATGAGTATTTTAATGAAAATGTCAGGTCTTTTTTCCAATCGACACACACAAAAAAAAAAAACAAAAATAATGAACAGTAAAATTTTCCCGTTTTTCCTGGTTTTAAAATTTATTAAAAAAATGAACGGAAAATTAAATAAAAATTGTTTGTGCACCAACAGATTTTCTTTCAAAAAGAATGCTACACTAAAAACTTGAAAGAAGATTTTAGGTAGAAAAAACAAAATCGAAGGTATCAAAAATAATGAAACTTTTACCGCTGTAAACTTGTCCGTTGTTTCCCTACACGTTTTTTCACAATTCGCCAGGAAAATCGCAAGGAAAAAAAAAACAATTTTCTAATGCCCCGTATTGATCCAAAATGCTACGAAAACCGCTCTTTTTTTTTTTTTGATTTTTTTCGATCGGAACGTGATTTCTAGCCGAAAAGTTGTTCACGAACTAAAAATTTAAAAAAAAAAAAAATCACATCGTGTAAGCGAATACGGGAGTTCGGAATCCAAAAACGAAAAAAAACCGCGTCGTATTATTAAAGGCCTTATAAACGCCGCCGTGGTCCGGGGTCGACAATAATCCCGTCGAAAAAACGTCGAGTTCAAGATTCACCCGTCCGAAAGCGTATCGATAACGGAAAAAAAAAAAAAAAATTCGAATTCTCGATTAATCGCGCGTAAACCGCCGCCGTCGCAGCAACAGCAGCTCTTTCGGTTCTCGTATTTATACGCATGTATACCAAACGCATTGTCGTCGTGATTATTTGTGCATGCGCCCGCGTCCGAGTGCGCCCCGATATCAGTCCGTATCCGTTTTCGAATGGGGTTTTCGGTTCGTTTGATGCCGCACACGATGCCCGCGGTATTCGATATTATTAATGTTTCCGGTTGTCCGCCGTTATTGTTATTGCCGGGCGCCCGTCGTCGTTTAAAAAAACGGAATCGTATGGAGCGGAAAAAAAAGCGATTTTCTCGGTTAACGACGTTACGTTATTTTTAGTTCACATACGATCGGCGCACGTAGAATCGTAGAATACATACTGTCGTTAATATTTTTATACGGTAAACGGACGGTATTTTTATTATTTTTTTCTTGACATTTTTCTCCCGACCCCGCCGGGGTTAAAAGAAAACAATAAATCGGAACACGATATGCTCGGCATCGCGATGCGTATAGGCCGCGCGTCGAGAAATCGGGAAGGTATAGTCTATCGGACACAACGCTATGTAGTGTGGGGTTTTTTTCAGTTATTATTGTATCGTATTATAGGGTTTGTTACTGAACGATAAGTCGTTACAAACGAAAACCCATCCATTATTCGGAGCGGAGCTCGTTTGACCGGCTGAATTCATTCGAGTAGTTTTCTCAAATATTTATATGACTATAGTGACCTACCCCTCCTCTCCCCCCATCACAAAAAAAAAACCGTCTAAAATTCATTCGTGAGTGCCTCGCAGTGACTTAAATCCGTCTAAATTTCTAGTGAAACATTTAATTTTCCAGTCGACCGATACTCGAACCTTCTCGGTAAAACCCTGCCTAATAAACAATTGAATTCCACTTTTAACAATTTTTTTTTACAAAAATCTGAAATTGATTTTGAATTTCTTGATGGTTATAAACTCTATTGGTTATTAAATATTCTATTCAATGTGTGAGCTTATTAAGGGACAATAAATGCCAGTGCATCAATGCAATTTGACTTGGAGTCCTACTCCTTGATACGTGTCTCACTGTCACACATAGTAGCGCTGTTCCGTTATAATATTATATGATAAACGAAAATCCGAATTTTTTTACTTACCAAATAGTTGTTATATTTGAAAACAAAAATGATTGGCAGTTATCCTTCAACAAATTTTCAAAATGCCTGACGGTGCAAAAATTTAAATATGCACAGGCCAATTTACGCCAATTGAATATTGTATTAAAATTTAAACCTCGCGGATTCAAAACGTTGTCGGACTCCTATACATTCGAAATTTCTCATCACTGCGCATTGTGTAGATTTCAATTGAAATTGGTTGGTTATCTTTTGTAGTCGGCTTTTTTTTTCCTGGTACAAACTTTCGGGAATCCTAATAAATGTTTCAAATAAAGTATACTGCCGTCGGGCGGAAAATCCTTTTTTTTATATAGTACGGTATACGTAATTATTGGATTAATTTTATAAAAAATAACCACAGACATGGTGGCGCTATGCAGTTAGCGTTATATTAAACTAGCTATCTCGCGCCGAGTGTTGCCCGTGCCCAGTTTTTATTATTTTTACCTTTTTATCGTTTTGATTTACCCGTATCAGTAAATTCAACGAAAAAAAAGTAGCTGGGTAGCCAGGCGGACTTAAATGTTCTAGCGCGGCATATATTTTTGCATCCGTGTTACCATAAATACTCGCAGAGAAAAGGGATGAAATTATATATCCACTAAAACAATGGTAAAATTATGAGGACATGATAGTACGTTTCATTTTTCACTTACCCACCCAGTACAGCGCCATAGTTGTTTGTTTTTTTTTCTTCCGTGTTACCAAGGTAGCCCATCCTATTTCAAACCAATAATAGACCGGCAGCTAGTCAGAAGTAAACTCATTATTTTGAACTGTTATAGTTATTATGACATTTTAGATTCTGAGTTTAGCGAAGCATTAGCGAATGTATTGGTTTTCTAAAGATGTTTATTTTTTTTTTCATGTGAACACTTTCTATCAGAAAGCTTACTCCGATTATCAAGCATAGAACTTTTTCTGAAAGGCAATTTTTTTTGGGTAGTACTTTAAAAAAAGGTCATTTTTTTGAAATTCTCAATAATATTCGAGATAATGAAGAATACCTGGTTTTTTTTAAGTTAAAATGATCGAAAATTTAAAAATAAGGTTGTCATTGGCAACTGTTTTTATTTAATTTTTTTCATCAAAAAGTTTTTATTATTTAAACTTTTTCGAACAACCATTGTTGTAATTATTTTACCATAATATGACATATATTATATTGTTGACAAAGCAACACTATTAACTTTACTCCACTCAGAATCGTTTTTTCGTCAACAACGGCTAATCTTTGCTTACATATATACAATCAATTTCCTAAGGTAAAAATACCTAAAAAAAAAAAAAAAAACCCGGTCATTCCTTATTCCATCGCCTTCGAGTTTCATTTTCGCGACAAACAGTAATCTATGTTTTTCTCCAAGTCCCGTCTATCCAAAAATCCATCAAAATCGGTTCGGCTGTTTAGCCGCGAAAACGTAACAAACAGACTTTTTACCTTTGTAACATTAGTTAGGATCGTTCTTAACGGTTTGCACAAACGTTTGGATAATTTCAAATTCCGACCAATCTTCACCTATTCCGCGAAACGGGATTTAACATAACACAATATATTTATACGCTGTCGTAATAAAATGTACTAATACTGTGCGGTGTTATAATCGAGTTAAACGCGTTAAGTCGCCGTTCGCATATTCGATTACCTATTTGCGTTTCGTGGCGCGGCCGTCCCGCGAGACCGAATTCGTGTATTTTTGGACCTCCGCGATAATACGGAAACACTGGGCCGTTTACAAACCCAAAGTCTCCGTAGGCGTTTTTCGCGGTCTATTAGGCACGTCGTGTTTTTCGTTTGACGTTTATTTTTGCGACTTTCATAACCATCGGGCGTTCGGGAATAACCAGCGAAGATGATTTTTTTATACACCACTGTTTACAGGTTTTATTTTTTTTTTTATTTTTGCGATCTACTAACTATAAATACCAACACTCATTATTACATTGTTATAGCTTAAATTTTTTTCGAAACTTGGCGATACTTAAATGTCAAAATCGTAAATTTGCCACACAGAATGTTTTTTCGTGTCAACCACAATGTACCTGCATAATATTTTGTATTTAATCATCGGGGCTGTCGTGTTTGTGATCGATTCGGCTAAACTACCGTACGCGCTGTTAGCGTACAGACAAACCGATACGTCGAAATGCAAAACGCTCACGACATGTTTGTAATACAGTGCAGTACAGTACTATTAGTTGTGCGCGAAATAGTACGAAATATTATGATTGTGAGGAAAACCAAATAGAGACGATTCAACGCGTACATAATATTATCATCACTGTTTAAAACGGGATAATCGCGTTTTGATAAATATGGCTTAGAAACATTTTTACTTGTTGAACTGCATTATTACAATATAATAATATACAAGCGAAAAACAAACGATCGTTATGGATTTTGTAACGCGGCTAGTACTATACGAGCATTTTTTTTTTTTAGGAAATGTTTTCATAATGCGTCTGTACAGAACAAAAATAGTATTACGCAACTTCGAATTCGTATACGCATTTACTTCTAAATGTTTTTTTTTTTTTTTTAACATTGGAAACAATAATTGCATTGTTTGTATTGTTTGAGACGATTGAGCAATATGATGTATTACATCTATTATTATATTACGTTTGCACGGCCATTGTTTATCAAACAGATTTAATCATGTTTCAAAAATTGATCACAATTTGATATTATTATTAAACCGTATGTTTGAAAATTTGAAAACCATAAACCAAATCTAAAAGCCGAGGCGTTCTCATAAGAAAATACAGGAAGATAATATTGTACATCAATGTTGTGCGTATAGTATCTAACTGCTTATTGTCGTACTCGGGGGATGGAGCAGGTTTATTAAGTTTTAATACTAATTTTTTGGAATTTTTCACAATCTCGGTGCATGACACGATACGTGATAATTGATGCCCGATAACCGTAATATTATGTAGTAGTGAGCCGGATTGCTTGCCAAATATTTGTCTGGTAATATACCGGTAAGTATACTTGTCACATAGTGGGAAAGGTGTACTTGTACAATTATTTGTCACTGGTGTATTTCCCGGGGATTATCGGTGAACGTTTCACAAGTCCGAGAAACGGCTGTTATTATTGGTGCATTTGGCAAGTATACCGGTCGTAGGAATTTGGCTTAACACACATAGTTTGATTACTAATTAGTAACAAATACTTACGATTATTTTAGACTACAAGAAAGTATAACAAAGAAGCTATTGGTTTTACTAAAATTCGTTTTTTGTTCCATGAGTCACCTTAAAAGACGCTTGATGGTACGAGTAGATATTAGTTAAATTATTTTTCAAAATGTCAAATGCTATATAAGTAAATAAGTACGAGAATATTAGATCCGTACATTACTGAATTGGATTTACTAATTACGGGGAAAAAAAAATGTACAGGTATTACGAAAATCCCGTGGTGTACATGTCCCCAGTTTGTCCTCCCCCTCTCAACGCATCAAATTACACTCAGAAACGATGCCGATGAAGAAAACACCCAGCGATATTAGTTATAGTTCCTAAACTTTTGAAATTTTACGTCTCTTCAAGGAAATTATTGTATTTTATAAAACAAAGTCTGTTGATTGAGAGCGATAATAAATATTCAAAGTACCGTCATCTAACAATTAGTTTCCTTTAAAAAAAAAAAAAAATGGTACTTTTGATAAAACTTGCGTAAAAACTTCAAAATGTAAATGTATAATAAAAACGTAATTAAAACCGTTTAACTAAAACAGTAATTTTTTTTTTCTTTTCAAACTCTTGATAATCTTATTTGATAAAGTTTTAAGACATTATTATTATTATACTCGAGTATCTAGTTCTCAAAAAAAATCAACGGTATTCTTTATAGCTCGTAAGTTTCATTTTAATTGGTTTAAGACGCAACGGAAAAGTAAAAAAGAATAAAACCTATAGTTTATTATTTATACTTAGGTACACTCGTTTTTAAACATCATTTACGATATTTTATCATAATGATGTTTAAGGTTTAAATTGTGGTGCGGCATCTAAACTTTAAACGACTTGTAAAAAGTTTACCGACTACTCAGATGTACCAGCTACCGCTGTTATCGCATAGAATATAGTGTAAAAAAAAAACTTTGGTTTAGACTTTAGAGTATACCTACACCCGTGTTAATAAAATATGATTCCATGCTTATACTGAAGTAAACAAGTAAGTTATAATCAAAATGGCGAATCATTATGCGGCAGATATTCGTCGAATGTCGTTAAATAACAATCCGTAAAGACTTGTTGATTAAAAATATAATGGCTACATATTATTGAGTTTTGAATCTCAGATTAATTTTACATATCGATTTACGTCCGGCGTATTTTTTATAAAATGTTTGAATTGAGACTGTAGATAATATAGAATATGAAGCAAAGCCTTGTTCCAAGGTGAAAAGGTACAAAAACCAAATCAAATAAAAATGTTTGCGTGTGACCAGATATACAAATAAACAAATATTTCCAAATAGGTATCATTAAAATTGCCTCAACTAACTTCATAATAATAATAATATTAATTAATTTCGGAAAACGATTAAAAAACAAAATTTAACACAATTAATGAGCCAACGCATTTATTTTGGAAGACTATGGAATAACTCACAATCTCATAGTTATGTTTTGTGCGTTGTAACGTTGATGTGCTAAATAGAATAAACTCAAAAAAAAAAACCCATAGTTGTTTGTTTTAATATTATTATTCGGGACTAGATTCAATATTCCCGAAAACAATTGCCCGAAAATTAGTAGACTCTACGTGCTCACCTGATAGAGTGCCGGATCACTTCGGCGGCCGAACCTTAACCTCAGTGACGGAGACCTCTGGTTTTTACGAACCATGCGATGTTGGTTCGGATCGATCAAAGAATTCCCCATGGAATCTATTAGGTCCCTTTGCAAAAGAAGTTCGTACAGCTCTTTGGCATCTGAAATAATACATAAATATGTAATAATAATAATGATATGACGTTAGTACGTAAGTGCGTAAATAGATATTTTTTCTAGGTAATAAAAACGATATTGATTTGGAGGTAGTTTTGACTTTTTATTTTTGAAAAAAAAAATTTTTTTTTAAAAACTTTTTGATAAATGTTAGAAAAAATAACGCACGATAGTGAAATAAAGTTCTATATATTATTATAATATAAAAAACAAAAAAAAAAAAAAACAAAATATATATAAAATTCTTTGATATGGTATTCGAAAATTCTTTGATATGGTATTCGGTAGGGAAAAAATAACACCACAATATGGACTACTTGTACACCACAATATGGACTACTTGTCATTACATTATATCATATCAACAGAATTCGACCAGAGTACAATACAACAAATGACTACATCATACCCCGAAAATGTATACGTACAGTTGTTNGGAAAAATAACGCACGATAGTGAAATAAAGTTCTATATATTATTATAATATAAAAAACAAAAAAAAAAAAAAAAAAAAAAAAAAAAAAATATAAAATTCTTTGATATGGTATTCGGTAGGGAAAAAATAACACCACAATATGGACTACTTGTTATTACATTATATCAACAGAATTCGACCAGAGTACAATACAACAAATGACTACATCATACCCCGAAAATGTATACGTACAGTTGTTATAGGATTAGTATAAGCTCCGTGTATTTTACTAAAAATAAATGTTTGTGTAGTTTTCAATTTATACAAAATCTTAAACAGTTTTTTTTTTTTTTGTGACCGATTTTTTCAAAAAAATTATCATTAGCCCTTCCATATGTGTGCATGTGTACACTGTACAGTATACCCATATGGTGTACTAAACCGTTTGTATTTTCAAACGGAAGCGGAATGTATGCTATTACCTGCGTTTTGTACACCGAGCACAACACCCGGACGATCCTCCCGGTGTCCCGCGCGTTCGCCAGAAAAATCGCCACCCGATAACAATACAACGTTACGATATGATATTTTTCAACGGTAACATACGTAGGCAATAATAATAGTACGTAATGCCGAACGCGCGCCGCCGAGCGGAAATATTCAGGTCATGGGCGAACCAGACGCGCGAGAAATAAAACAGAAGAAACGACAAAAGTGTAATACGGGTAGGTACGAGCAAAACAGTCAACAATGCGAGACGGCCGCCGCCGCCGTTTTACAGGTATTTCGGCGACAACGACAACAGCTTACCGGTGCCGGTGATTTAAATTAATTCGGTCTCGTATACGAACGCCGCCGCCGTCGTCGTCTATTTGTTTGCCAGCATCACGCGATTATTTCGCAAACGGCGAACCTTTGTGCGATTTCGCGTCCGCCCGTATTATCGTTGCAATACGCGTGTACAAATACGCGTCCGAGAGAAAATAATAATAATAATATAATCGGGTCGTCGTCGAAATGGAGTTTTCGTTTTCGGGTTTTATCTGACGAAAATACAACACTACAATGACATATTGTGTTTTAGCTGTTCGCGTACGCGTGCAGTTGAGTCGACCGTGTGACGCGGCGTACAACAATGCGTTCGACGCACTCGGGTCGGGCACTTGGTTTTTCCAAAGGTCCCCGCGGGGGGGGGGGAATCAAGGCGCCGGCACCGGGGATCGGACCCGGTGAAACGAACGTCGGGACCGCACCGGTTTTCGTTGCGTTTCTCGGCTAAAAAAGACCGAGAAAGGGCCGCGTTTAAATTGGTTACAATGTACGTTCGGGCATTTCAACGCGAATTTCGATCCGTTTCGGGAACGAAATCGCAACACGTGTGGGCATTACGATTTATAGGTATACTGTATGGTTAACCGTCGCAAACGAAAAACGATTCTGAGCGGAGTTCGGTTACAGATGCTTTGAAATGCCGTGATATTTACGATTTGATAATAATTTTTTCTATGTTAATTTTTCTACTAACGGTCAATATTTATTAGTTGTAACAAGCATAATATTCTACTGCTTGCCCGTTTGCCTACGCAATACGGTTTTATATCTATCTAGTTAGCTACGGATTCACGATAATCATCGATATTATTATTTACGAAATATCAATACCGAGTCAATACTCGTGTTTTTACGACGATTCTCGTTATATTAGGCCATTTTTTTTTTTTATTTTTAAAAACGCGTAACCCGTAACTGGTAACAAATGCAATAAATGAGTTCCATTGATACTGCACTATATGCTATATAACATACTGTAATCAATTGCCATATTATTATAGAAATATTGTGTGTCGTGCGTTTTTTTTTTTTTAATCAACTACTAAATATAATACTGTGATGTATTCACGGGCAATAATATTTTTCCATTCGGAGAGTAATATTATGTTTTCACATTCTCGGGGGACGGGGGAGGGATGTGGTTGTCGAGGTCAACGGAAAACGAATAAAAAAATACTAAAAATCGTATTGAATTGCGAATATTAAACTCTCCGGGTTATTTATTTTAAAAATATAACATAAAACTATATTATACGGACGGGAAAAAATCTTGATCTATATACGCGACTCGTATATCATAATAATACGAGTTAAAGGTTATTAAAGCCAAAACTTCAAATTTATAACGTAGATTATTTTATAGAACCGCGATGGTCGACGCGTAGAAAAAATATAGGTACCTATTTATTTATTTTATCGGCACCGACGATATATAACCGCAAATAGTAATAATAAAATAACACAAAGGAGAAATATCTTATTTTATCTTCTATTTTCTCGCCCACCCCCCTCCCCCACAAACGAAAAAGTTATTTTTCGTATATTTTATTTGATTCGTAAACGTATTTCGAAACGATTATTCGTCGGCGTCGGTGTTATATTTGAAGACCTTAAATATCACTATGTTAATTTTATACGAAATGTTGTGCCGCGTCAGCTGGTACCACTGGTTTGAACGGATTCGGAATCATTATCAAGTCATTGAAATGTATGTTGTGTCACGAGTCGTGATAACTGAATTTTGTTTGTGAAATAAGAGGAAAAGTCAAAATTGTTCTTCGTACAAAACATTTTTGACTCACGCCCTTTTGCACAAACACTGTCCAAATATTATACCGACACTTTCGGATTCGAAATGGGACTTGTATTAAACATGAGAACACGAGAACGATATTGCCACTTTTTGAAATCGAATTAGTTTTAGCTTTCTTTTTTATACGAACTGCCGAATTTTTAAATTCAATATTTTTTTAATTCGAACATTTGGCCTGACCGAATGTTATCGTAAGTAACATTGAGTAATCAATGTTAGTCACCGATCTAGTCACCTACACTTCACGCTTTAGCATGATATTTATATCAGGTCTGTTTTTAGAACTGGTATCGTTTTGCTATACATCGACCGGACTAAAAAAAAAAAAAATTATAAGGGAATACTCATCAATTCCGAACTCTTTGAAATTAAATTGTATGTAATTATAAAGATTAAAATATTTTTTGTGGATTTTCTTTTTGTGCATTTCGTCGTCGACTTACATTTACACTGTATGAGTTATGTTATGCAGCATTCTGTACGAAAAGAAAGCATTTTGCGAAACTCAACTTCTATCGGTATAAGCAGACGGTGCATTACTCTACGACGTCCCTCGAAAATTCACAAAATAATATTTAAATTTAACAAATCGTCGCGCCGTTAGGTAAATTTGTACTTAATTCGATACTAATTTTAGTGAACATTTATCTTTTTTTTTTTTTTTTGCAAGTTAAGTTAAATAAATAACATATGCTGTTGCGGTTAACATCCGACAACGGTCTCTGCTCTAGTTGTATAAAATCGTATTGCGAACATTATAAATTAACACGTAATAATATTATATAGTTAGGTATTATTTTCGTTTTATAAATTATTGTCTTAAATTTTAATACATCCACGCGTGTTATTAATTATAATAAAATATTTCATAATATTCGCTCTGAAATTTTAACAGACCGCGACGAAACATTATTAATATTGTACCGTACTTTTAGTATACCCACCTATAAAATCAACGAAAAACTATGTTTACATAACGATTAGAGTATTGTACATTATATCAACAGATTTCTCGTATAAATATGCGATAAAAATTACAATCCGCTGTCGGGCAAAAAGTATTGCATTTAAATAAGTTTTTAAAAAAAAAAAAAAAAAAAACACCTTAACAAAAATAAAGGTTCTCGTTTTCAAGTTTAAAAATTGATCTCAAATCACCACCCGAATGGTCGTCTAAACATTTTAGGCCGTAATATAATTTTACATCGTACTATTCGGTACAATTTTTTCATCATACATTTTTCTCTAATTTGTGTTCTTATTTGGAAAATTTGATGTAACATTAATTATGCAGATCACTCTGCATTGTACAAACATAAAAATAAATTATTTAACACGAGTTGATTTCGTTAAATATTACATTTATATATTTGCGTTTTTATTTCCTCCCCCCACCGCCACCGAGCTTTTGTTCTCGTTTTCCTTTTTTTTGAGGCGGGATGACAAATACTGCGCACACAACAAACAGCACATTATACCTACACATTTCATTGGCCGTTCAAACGTTATTTTTTATTTTTATTTTATTATTATTTAAATCCGTAAAATTGAAAACTTACCCTATGTATACCTACGACCAAAAGGGTTTTATTATGTTTTGCGCGCATTGTTACGAATGTTCGTAAATACAATTTAAATATTATAACCGTACGGACGTGATATTTCGGTTGAGATATTTTTTTAAAAGTGCGTATTATAATAATATCCAGAGGCGTATTTGGAAAATAATTCATGTTTAAGGGAGGAAGGGTTTCTGAAAAAATTAATAACTAATAGATCATTGTTGTTGTTGGTAATTTTTTTATATTTGTATTAATTATTGCTATTACAAAACAAATTTCTTGGGTGCTTGAACCCCAGACTCTCTCCCTCGCCCGTGCCCCACCGATAATATATTATAAACTAATATATAGTATAATTGTACAAAAGCTCAAAAATGAAATGCACTTACCCGGTTATTGTTATTATTATTACGGCCCGGATATAAATGCCCCCAAAAAATGTCTTTTGCTTTTAAAACTTCTAGAGACAATATTTTGAAATACCTATTAATGTACAACGAAAATGTCCGCAGTGTATGATAAATATACTCTAGAAATATATATAGCGGCCTAAAACAATACTCTAAAAATACTCTAAAAGCGGGAAAAGAACGAAAAATATACCATTAAAGTTTCGAAGTAAATACAAGTTGAATTTGGTAGTAGCTGAATGCAGAAAGAGCAAATGTTAAAATTTTTCTAGGAAAAAAGACAATGCAATTCCTCAAGAACCTAGAGCTGTATAATATTTCATAAAAACGACTGTAGAATGGTTACAGATAATATTTCATAAAAACGACTGTAGAATGGTTACAGATAATATTTCACAACACAACACAAACATGAAAGTTGTTTTTCAGTTTTATCAAAGATATTAAAGTACATTTCTTGAACATTTTCAATACTTGGGCATGTGCCCATTCTGTAAATAGCGATTAAATTATAACGACGCGTAATTGAATTGTACCGTTGTCTTATAAGAGTACTAAAATATATAAAAAAAATTAATAAAAACTTCGCACTTAAATCTTAAATGGCAATAAAAATAATCTAATGCATTATTCAAAAAAAAAATAACACTCACTCTCGTAGTCCATGTAAGACGGTGCGGCGGAGATAATTGTCGAGGACAATAGGAGCGTGCAGACGGCGACAACGATGAATTTCATTTTTATTTCGGCGAGTGTATTATTTCGATCTGTAAATTCAAAAAAAAAAAAAAATAAAAATATTAAAAGAAATATAATATTACGACGACCGTACGGAAACGTACGTGATTACACATTATTACTATCAAATAAAAACAGCGAATATTCTCATCATAAATTGACAGTTATAGTTATGGAATCTGATAAATAGGTATGCCTACAATATGTGTAATTCAGTCATAATATACATAATAATATGTCACGTCCATGCGTTTTATAAATTTCTGGTCGATTTTAGCCTGTATTCGTTGAGACCAGATGTTTTCAAACTTTTTCCCTCGTACATCACTCGCTAATTTGTTTTGTTTTTCGTACACCCCGCCCCCTGATATTATTTATTACCCGTACACCTCATGCACCCTCAATTTTAATTTTTTTCGATGAAATTGTCCTCGTGCAGATCGTGGGAACCTCTGATTTCTATAAAATCTATTGGCGTAATTAGTAAATGCGAATAAAATAACGATAGTCTTGTATGTTTGTATGTTGTTGTTGTTTTTTTTTATTTTTTTTTTAATTACATATTTAATGTGTTATTTCATAGTTTGTTCTTTCGTACAGACGAACTTAAAAAAAAGCGTGAAAAAGTACCTATGTTCAATCGTTTACCGACCTTTGTTCGGACGTACATATAATATAATAAATATCAAAACGTGATAATGCTCTCCTTTTGATTGCATTTGATACGATGTTTTCACGTGATACGAGAACAATATTATTATTGTGCCGCGGTGTTAAGCCGCCGCGCGTAGTGAGTATTATTTTGTTTTGTTTTCTGTATATAATAATATATTATGCATAAAAGTCGAAAAAAAATAAAATATGATTATCGCGTCAAGATAAACAGAGAGAATAATACATGGAAAACTGGAAATAGTGTGTGTTTTTTTTTGTTTTTGGTTCAATTCTTCTTCCTGTCATTCCCTTATGATTTAAATAGTTATAATAATACAAAAATAAAAAAGGTTATTTTTCACCACTAACAATCAATTATTCAATTATATAATATGACAAAAAATCATATTTTTTAAAATATTTCATTAGTTTTCTCGTAAGTGTCATGCGCTATGATATATTTACGTATCGTCAATTGTGTTCCAATTGAACGATAATTTTTTATTGGAGAAATGTATATTCGTTAAAGAAACATTTTCCCTTCATTTTCGTATCCAAATAATACAATTTTCAATAGAATGCGTTTCAATATAATTACAATGTTGTCATTATGTATGAATTGTGTATACACTGTATAAGCTATACCGAATTTAATACGCGAATCTAAAATATTTTCGTACTTTAATTCCAAAATCATATATTTTAAAGAACATTATGAATCTAAAGCAGGGATATTACACGAATAATAATAATTATTATAGTAGAGCAGTAATAATACAATTTTTTTGGTAATTTTGTTTTTTTAATCATATCCTGGTGAAAGTTTTTCCATCGTCCACACACCCGTGTAACGTTTTTAATCTTCAAAAACGTACTTAGAAAAAAAAATAATTATATATCATTTATATAATGTAGGTACGCGTCTATGTGCATACGTATAGGAATTAGTATACCTACTAGGATACTTCCATTAGTGATAAAAAAAAATAATAATAATAATAATAAAAATAAAAACAAATGGGAAAAAAATCATACTCTCTGTGCCTAATAACGATATATAAATAAGCGTAAAAAAATAAAAAATGTAATTATATATCACCGGGTTATGGAACGTTGGCGGGCGGTCACGGGGGTAAAATAATTCATAAGTAGGCGAAATATAGGCTGTAAGTATAACCGTTTAGAATTTCATCTTTGTAAATCGAGTGAAATTCGAGTAAAATACAATATTCGATAGCGGAGGTCGATAAAACAATATAATCGCGACCGATTTCGAAAATCCGAAAGTTGAAATTCCCGGCTGCAGGAACCATCAGCTCGTGTATGATCTTTATACGCTCCAATCATGTAGCAGTCCAATCCAGGCAGTCTATCGAATATTTTTCCACCGTACCATTTAGTATGAAAAATGAAAAGTCCGTTGTTGAATTATTGATGTTTTATTTTTTTTTTTTTGCAATTCGACCGTATTGCAACAAGTAATACCTAATGTATTAGTAAAAAAAAAAGTGTCTTTCTGTATGTCTATTTGTGTAAGGTGTATAGACGAATCTATGATAGATCTGAACATTTACATACAGCAGAATTGAATAAACGTGTCCAAAACTAAACCCGTAATAGGTGGCTCACACAGTTTTGGTATTTTTAAACCGAAAATGTATTTATTTTTTTTTTTTTGTTGATTTCGGGGTTACCTTGTTGACACAAATTAATGGAAAAAACCGGTTGATTTGTTTGTCAATACGGGATACGGGTAAGGAAGCGCCTTTTTAAAAAAGCAAGTTACCCGGCAATAACGGTTCACTGTAATAAAGACTGGATGGAAACACCGAAAACGTGGATTCGTAAGAAACACGTGAATGAGTTATAACGTTTTTATTTTTTTTACCCGTTCATGAACGTGTATCCTAAAAATACTCTAACACCTAATATCTGTCAAGGTTTTTTATTTTTTTTAGAAATTAAGTTTAGTATACATACATATTTATTTTGATAATATATGCTATAATATAATATATTCGTGATTACCGACTTGAAAATATTAAAGGAGGTGTTCAAACCGACGGCGTTTACATTGGTTTTGTATTTGAAGAACCCCATACTGTTTATTTAAAAAAAAAAAAAATCTATATATATATATAAATTATTATCTCGAACAGTCGAATGTACATCAAAAGGATTTAAAAAATAATATTATCGAAATTATCGAAAATATATGTTAGGTTCTATCAATATTTTATAAATAGAAACTAATAAGAACCTTTCTTAAACCCGTGTCATATCTAACATCCCGTTTTAAACATTCTCGTCTATATTTAACCGAATTAAATCTCTGTATACAATAATAATATGTAAAAACCGGCCACGAGCATACACGCATCAATTTAGAGGTCTATAATAATAGTATGATGTATGTTTATTTATTTGACATATTTCACTTAATATTAACATAACAAGTTTAACGTATTTCGTTCGAAAGAATCTTCATTTGGAAGTGTTCATTAAGGGCCACTATCTTGAATTTTTCAGAATCGTCAACCACGCGATTGAGTAATTATAGAGGAAGAGCATGATCGATTTAAGAACTTGCGAAATGCGAAAATGCATCCGTTTGAAAAATGTCCCACAAAAACTCGTACACTATTGTTAAAGACCTTTCCAATGTGATTGGATGCACGAAAAACAAAGCCTGTGACCAAGGGCGTAGTTTGCAATTGAACTGTGGGAGCTATTGTAGCCCCACTCAATCACTCGTATTTTAATTTGAATCGTTTTACATAACGTCAAAGTTTTGTTGAATTTTTTTATAATTTTTTCCCGATATTCATTAAGTCGAACAATATTTTAACATACGTACAATATGCTTACTGTACTAGTACATTTCTCAAATTTTATCGAAATCAATCTAGCAAACAGTTTCTCACAGACATAAAAAGAATCGCATACATCATAGTGAAACGAATAAATTTCTAGTCCAGTCGTTCCGCTCATATTCGAAAAACACACGTCATAGTAGAACCAATGCATTCCTCTTTGTTCTCAGAATCTAAAAATATGTATCAGATATATCAGAAAAATTATTTTTTGAAATGTCTCGTCGACTAGTTACAAATTCAGATTTTCAACTTTTTTAGATTTCTAAACGTAATCTTAATGCACTTGGTTAATTAATTCCTTTAAAAATTGTTTGCGGAATATTTTAGTTTATTATGTTAAATCGCTTAGAAACCGGAAACTTTACACGATCGAAGAACGGGCTTTCCTAACTTGTTTCTCGTAATATACATTTTTACTCTCAAATATGTATTTATTATTTATGCGTGTGTCAGTTAAACAGAGTTTTTTTTTTTTTTTTTATTAATTTTCGTTCGATTCGTGAGATAATACACACCTTTACGGAGAGAGCCATATTATGTGTATTATACTCGAAGCAAGGTCACCGAGATTGTTTCGAATTAATCTAATTGTAATTTCTTTTACTAATGTCAAAAATAAATAAATAAAAACCAAACCATACCGGCAGTTATACGGGCAACGAATTGAAAAAAAAGAAAGTTTCTTTTAAAAATTTTAATCGATAATGTCGTACGGCGTTTTGCTTTTACCGACGAACACAAGACCGTTCGTCGTCATACGGACGCGTTTAATATTATGATAATTTCCAAAAATAATAAGCAGACACCGATTCGGTAGAAAAAAAAAAAAAAACAAGTCGACAAACGCTCTGCCGTGGACTGTCCGTGTAAAATATACGGTTCGTTATTGTGAGTTATTCGTGTCGTTTACGTGCCGTGCGCGCACGTTAAATAAATTATTATTAATTATTATTGTATACGTTTAACAATATTCGAGATTATCATTCTTGGGTAGAAAATAAAAAATAATATTTTTATTGCTAACACATCGCGGCACAGCGGTAAATTATTATGTTTTTTTTTTTAGATTCGGAACGTAGGTCGTGGCGAGGAGCGCCGTATTGGTTTTAAAAAAATGACGTGTGTGTGTGTGTGTGTGTGTGGGTGTGTGTGTGTTTGTTTTTTCCTACGTGAACAACTTTTTTCCTCAGCAATCTTACTCCGACCGCTGAATATATGGGCGTAGATTTCTGGCTGGAAATTTCGTCTATTCAGTGCGTCGGGGACGTATTTCTGTATGTTTCTTTGTATAGCGTATTCTTAACAATCGGGAAAATCGGGAAACGGGAACGTTTCGATTTTGGGTTATTCGTATTGCAATATAATTGAAAATAATTTGAGAGATCATTCGTTTTCACCGGGTATTTATATTGGCCTATACTAGACGATGATAAAATTGATGGAACGATTGTCACAATTTTTGAGCCATTCATAGCCTATTTGAAATTTTCGAATTATTTTTTATACTCTTATTCGGTTATACGAGGATACAATTTGTTTGGCTAAGTAAATATGTTTGGAAATTAGGTTCATCGTAATTTGTAATTATTGATAAAAAGTTTGTATTTATAAACTTGTTTGAATGTTCCAAATGCAGATGCGCAATAAATAATACTATACGCGCACCATAAATCTTTGAGATTTTTTAAAGGAAAAACGAGTTTAAATTATACATTATTATTAAAATACGTGTAATATAAAATACTTAGTTTACACTGTCAGAATAATGTTTATGACCCGGGGAAAAAATTGTCTCGAATCACTGGAAATGGGAATGTGTATATTATTCCAATAGCGGGAATCGTTTTTTTTTTTTTTAGGTGATTATAACAATGTTAAATGTCTTTTCGAATCGTTAAACAAAAAAGTTTTTGCTAAATCGCATTTGTAACGAAACAAAAAATAGTATAATACGCAACTGGAGATCGGCCAAAATTACGACCATAATATGTGTCAGTGTCCGTTTCATAATAAGAAAAGTTTTTAAAACGACGCAATCCAAATGACTCGAAATTATATTATATTATGGTCATCTGCATTTTTTATGTAACTAAAACGACGAAAACATTTTTCCCGAGGACACAGAACACTTCAGCTGTCAAATTAACGACGAAACAAAAAGTTTAGGTAATATGTATAAAGATTACCTATAATTATTGTCGTTTGAAAATCTCATGGAATTTTTCCTTTCGATGTTTATCCGTCATACCGGAATAAAAAAGAAAAAAAAACGAACGATAATAACGGATCTAATTGTAAAAATACCTCCTAGGATTATGGGCACGGCTGCAGCCACTGTTATAGGTAATTTAATGTCTACCTTTAAAATCGGAGCCAGTCTACTGGCAGAAAAGTCATCCACAGAAAAAAACATCTTTGTAACATCATAAACTTCTTCGCTCCACTCAGAATCTAAAACATTGGTGCTTTCGATTGTGTCGGTAAGTACCGGAATAACAACGTAAAGATCACAGGCACGAATCCGTTTAAAACTCTCGGGGTGCTCAAGTCGTTCCAAAATTTACTCGTCACACTCCACATCACCATATCACCATCCAGATCGCAAATACCCTACCGTATCTTTAAAACTAATAGTATAATAACAACATTCGTAGAAATAAAACTGTCGTTGAAATGTAACGTTTACTAATGCGGATTAAATTAAATTTAAAATTTAAAAAGGATGACGTTTTTGTCGGTGTATTAAAAATGAACTAATGCTGTATATTTTTAGTTAAATAACTGTCAGCGGTACAAGTCTACATTATTATTTTTATTTTTTTTTTTTTGAAAACTTCTTCAAAACAACTTTTATTTTAATTTAATTTTCTATATTGCGGCTAAATCAGTTAATCTGTTTTGACCCGCAGTAGTCCTCGTCCAAGTTTTAATACGACGCATGGCCTAAAAACTACACTCAAACAAACAAGTGGGCAAAACTAATGATTCTATATACACGTTTTAATAAACGACTTTTTATACATTTTTTTTTTCGAATCTAAATAAATCAGGCATATCCAAAAAGTTGTAATTAATGTCTGTCCGTATAGATGAATGCTAAATTTACCTTTATAAGTTGAAGTTAAAAAAAAAATTATTTAGAGCGTATTAAATACTAAAAACGATATAACAACACCTATATGATATTTATTCTTGGAATATTTGGGGGAAGGGCTTATATTGTTTCTGGCGTGTTAATTTTGGGATTTGCGATCCGTGGCCGATGATCGACTCTTAAATTAATATTATTTCACATTAAAAACATTGAAATTTGCGTGTAGCACTTTTTCTGAAAGCTCGAGTTGTTTTAAGTCGAGTTACTTTAAAGAGGTCGATAATCACGGCAATTCAAATTATGTATTACCGATCTACGCTCGGAACCGTCTTTCGTCAAGCAACGGTTTATACCAGGCATGTCAAACTCAAAGTATCAGGTGGGCCAAATATATTGAAAAGTTTACTATTTGGGCCGCACATAAAAATTTAGCGAAAAAATAAATATTTTGTACAAATTTTCAATTTTATTCTTTATGTTTACGAGTACAGCAATTACAACTAAATTAAAAAATTAAAAAAGAAATGAACATTAACATTTAAATAAAATATAAATCATACTAATTATTCATGAAAATAAATAGGTGTTGTATAAATTACAAAAAAAACCTATTAATAATTCTTTTTAGACGATATTTGACATCTCTTTTCTCCCACCAACTTTTCAATTTCGGGAGAAATATTATTTGACGAAGCGACTTTTAACACTGCATTTAAATGTGTGTCGGTTAATCTGGATCTAACGGGTGATTTATTACTGTTCATTAATGAAAAAAGTTGCTCGCATTGATAAGTACTACTAAACATAGATATAATTTTACTAGCAAATCTACGAGTTTCCACATATTGTATTGGCACAAATTTGTAAAAATCAGGAACACCAACCTCATTGAATTTATTTTTTAAATTTGAATCATTTTGAATCTCGATCAGTTCCATTTGTNAACCTATTCAGACCTATTGAGACCTATTGAAACCTATCTTCTTATCAGAAGATAAGACAGTATAATAATGTATACCAAATAAACCACTCTCTAAGAATCTAAAATAGTCGTTACACGACATTAATATTTTTTTTTTTTGTCCATTAATATTGGTAGCCGCGGGCCACGAAAAAATGAGCCTCGGGCCGCGTGTTTGACATGCCTGGTTTATACCGTTGCTCACGGATATAAACGGAATAACCTTACGTAATCTACCCCTTCCAGACTTCTCAGCTACGACAGTGGCCGCTCTCATCAGTGATCCTTTTCATTAAAGACCGCCCGATCTGAAAACCGTATGATATTGCGAAAAATCGTAGTTAGCGGACGAGGTGTGGCGGGGTGAGGGTGATTTTGGTAGGCGGTCGGATGGAAAATTTAATCGGTGATTCGAGGTAAAAAAAAAAATGAGAAAAAAAGAGACTTTCCGCCGCCATTGACGTGGGGTGTACAGCGTCCCGCGGCCGAAGACGGCGGTTATTAATTATAATTATTGTTTATCACTTTACGAGCACGCCGGTCCCGGGTTACAGGCGTTATTGATATACGATGCTACGATAATACCGGGTGTCTATCGTAAATTGGCCGAACGGGTACACCGACATCCGCCGCCGGAACCACTATAACGATTATTTTCGCACGGCTGCGGTATTGAATACGGACGAAATAATTATTCGGACCCGACGTGAACATTTCTGTCTATTATAATGCGTTTATACACGGGGCCATCCATTATTGCACTCGTCGACCCCAATTTAAACGCCGTAAATTTCGCGCGTATTCAAACGTTCCGATTTTCGCCGTTTCTGAGTGCAGTTCAATTTGATATTTATCGAATGGTACCGAACGGATTTTCATTGCGACGTTTATGGAGTACCTCGCGACGAAACGGTTCAATATGCAAATTGTAAATCGGACGATTCTTCTGAAAACGTTAACACACTGTAATCGAAATTTGAACGAAACGTTTGTGAGTTTATTCTACTTTACAGCACTGAGGATAACAGTCTGAAAAACATCATTCGAGTGGCGGCACGGCTAGCGGTGTTTTAGTAGTGCTCCGCAACTATATATCCCTGTTCAAACTTAAAAGCGGAATATCTCGTCAACGGGTCGACGGATTTCAAAAATGTCAACATTGAAATTTATTTAAACTAATACTCTGTCTATTTACGGAATTTTTAACGCGAGTTTTCAGTTATCAATTGGTATCGCCAAATATTCGAAAAAATCAGCTTTGATTACATTTAAAATTTCCAAATTTCAGAATTTTAGAATTTCAATTTATGCAAGATTTAACCACACCAGTGACAAACACTTTGTTTACAGGGCAGCGTCGGATTTACCTATATCAAGCAGAACAAGCCGTTGATTAAAACGACACAAATTTAAGGTCGTTTAACCGCGCAACTCGTAAAAAAAATTAATAAATTATAATAAATACGTTTTTGGAGACGACATCAGTTGTCACGGAAAATTGTTTTTCGAAATCTAATGCGATTTATTTTACTAAATTTTTCGAAATTCGACCATGTTTTACCTATTTTTAACCATTAATAAATAACTACAAGGCAGCTACAAATATCTTCGTGTTTGTTTAACTATGTCCAACTTCAAAATTTGGTCATCTCGAGGTAACAATGAACTACGTGTTTTTATCTTTGGTTAATTTTAATACAATTTTAAATAATATATTTGTTTTTAAGTAAGAAAAAAACCTTACAATAATGATTAATGGTTGGTAAATTTTTTTCTGCTTATTGTAGACGACGACCAATCGCTCAATCCACTACTGATACGGTACGATAAATTCTTCAAGAACCAATGATAATTACTTATATTGTAATACGAAGACTTCGAATAATTTTCATTTCTCGTTTTCTTACGAGATCGTTTGACGATTAGAGTATGAATTCTATTTTACAGAAATATTAGAGGCATATTTTTCGCGAAATTATGTTTAGCAGTTTTCGCGTTATTCCGGTGTACATTCCCACAGTTAAACTCGCGTGTCTATGACACGAACCTCAGATAAAACTGGCACTCGAATCGTCATCAAGTCGATACTAAAATGGACATTTTCCTGGGTCCCTCTAGGCCTTTGGTTCAAAACAGTTTTCACTGTCACTGTCTACATTATTGCCGTTCTTGCGATAAATGTATTTGTTATCGTCAAGAATTAACGACGATTAAGTTTCGTGTTAATAGCGGTTGACTTTATGTCGTGTCTTTGTGTGTACACGTGTTAATGTCACCCCCTCTCCTCCTCGATCTTATTGGGCCACGCGCAGTTCAATGTGTAATAATATTTTCATCGAAACGATACTACTAAAACAGAGACGATTGTGTCTGCACCGTTGTTATAATACACAAATATCTTTAACGTACAGAAAGAGCACGGTGTGTTCGAATTTCAATATTGTTTAAGAAATACGAAAAAAAAATAAATATTTATTACGTGCCTATAATAGTTTGATTATATTTCACAGAACGAATGTACGGTGGCTCATAAACGATACAGCTAAATTAAATACCAATACGTACCATTAATTTTTAAGTATTTTTGCATTTCTCGACGAATTCCTTTAAGCGTGTCTAGTGATTCGTATGGTTTGATGTTTCAACTCTCGAACAATACTATAATGTATACATTGTTATCGTCGTTTTGATATTCAATAAAGATGGTTTTGACGCGACCGTTTTCGATGCTTTTCCCTAGATCGTCGGTCGACATGGAGCTGTTTATAGGTATTTAATAACGATATCTGCAAGTATCGCGAGAGACGACGAGAATTTCGCGGACATATCATAACAATTAATGTTCTTGAAACTACGAATCGGATTGCAACGAGACTACAACAGTATTCGTGACAGAAAGCAAATGCAGCGACGCCGTAATCACAATTGATAATGGAGGCATAACTGATAAGAAATAACGGGATATGAACCTTATATATAGACTTTATACACATAGACGAAACATCAATGTCTTTCCCTGTAGGACGGTGCAGTCAACCTTGTTTACCTAATATGTTTACCATGATATTACACATTCACGATATATTATATACAGATATCAGCTATTGAGTAAATGCAAATATTGTAGTATTCAATTCACATTTATTTCAAATAGGCAACACTAATGATAACTGATAACCATAATGCGCATCATGTGCGTATAGTGCTTCGGTACTTCCTGAGACGCTACCTGTCGTGGAAGGTGTAAACTGCACAATGATTTATCTACAGGTATAAGATCATGGATATGAAATTTATTTTGTATAATAATCAGTCGAAGAGTAGCCCCGTTACAGAGATTTCCGCCATTGCCGTCAGGTGTCGGCCCATTCGCTTTAATTCGCGAATTGGTAACGTGCCTGTGAGAATACCTACGAGTACTTACACGTATTTGTCATTAATTTTATCACGGACGCGAGAACCCATTTAACGGGCTTATGACATCACGCGCCATTCGTGCGAACTCGGATGATGACCGAGAGAAGGGGATGGAAGGGAGGAGGGGTGCTTGTTTCGAGTCATTATAGCAATCTTGCGTTATGTATACCAGCGCCCCGTGAATGCGAGAATAATTTCGAACCGAGGAAAACGGTTTTTTAATATTTTATAAGATTTAAAACAAGCAGTTACACGCTTTAGTCTTAAATGTATGCGCGGGGTCACGATAATTTAATTGTTGTCCGATTGTAAAATCGGTTTATAGAAATAAAACAAAAAGTTATTTAAACGGCACATCATATTGTTAAAATACTTTATTCGTTGAAGTATAGTTTTGATGTGTAAATACGGCATGTGTTTTCTGGACGCTGCAGAATGTCAGAGTTTTTTAATTAGCGAAGATAGCTTTACTAAAATGTGTTTGTGTGTTTTTTTTCAAGGTTAGTTAAACAATGTTATAAAATAAATTATTGTTGAAATCGCCAAGGGCTTTATTTGAACAATTTTTCTAGATTCCGGTGAGTTTTTCTTCGGAATTTTAATAAAAAGACCATCAGGTATAGTGTTCCGAGATTTTTTTATAAGTTTTCTCGGTGTTCTTGTTTTTATTTAATTTAAATTTCTATCGAATGTTTAATATTGAAATCGTAGAAAATATTATAATATACCTGTAGATAACCAAAACCAATATAAAATCAAGAAAATATCTCTGAATATCTAAAAAACGTAGAAATGTTTACTAAATGTGTACTAAGAGGTACACAAATTATAATTATTTAATTCGCATTATTATTAAATTCACTCTTAAAATCTGTATCGTTCAAAACCTGTAATGCGTATCTACACTACAGTATATGGTAATAATTTTATTTTACAATATTTCTTCCTACGATCCGAAAATTTACCGTACAAATTCGTTTAAGAAATTGATTCTTGTTACAAAAAAAAAAAAATTTGATTTTCCTATTTCAAGTGTTCGCGTGAAATTAACATTCGGATCTAGAAAACCGCGTGTGTTTAATTGTTCACGTTCTCACGTACCTATTCCAATAGGTTTTACTATTTATGCTTCGGTTGTCTACGTAGTATCGTTAAAAATTGTAGTTTACAGTGTAACACATTAAAACCGCACGAAATACACATTACATTTGACTAGATTTAATATAGTTCGCCTAAACAAATGTCCGTGAATACTCGGATAACCGTAAAAACCCACGTGGACGCGGACAGTAAAACGCACGTGTGTTGCGCATACGCGAGTAAATACACATTTTTCATTCGCGCGCACACGGACCCGTTGTTTACGCGCGTGTTGAATCACGTTTTCAATATTGAGAATTCCATATAAAACCAAAACACCAAATACACGTAATATTGTGCAGCTGTCTACGCGTGAAACGGTTTACGCATATCCGAGCTCTCTGGATCGTTTCTAGAAAATCGCGCTTCTAATAACACGCGCCTTAGACGAGTAACGCGTGTTGTTATTGTTGTCCGTTC